TCAGAACATACGAGGCTGGAGGGCAGGGCTGCTTTGGTTTGTTTGCCTCTGACCCATCTGGTCCCAACTGACAATTTCACTGATGTCAGGAGCTCTCAGTAAGGCGGAGAGGGAGGGGACTGTCCTGTACTTCCAGTCTGTGAGAGTTGCCTGGCAGCCACACACAGCCAGGATGGGTCAGAGTTAAGACTCGAATCCAGACCTTCCTGCCTCCAAGACTGACTCTGACATATTTGTCAAATTGAATTGATGCTGAATCCCCAGCTCACGGCTGATTCATGAAACATCTATTAGGCCTCTCTAAGGGCAATCATGGCTCATTGTGCTATTTTTGCCCCAATTTCTCCTGGTTACTTATCAAATACAGACCGACCCTCACCTAAGGGCCTTTCCTCTCCCCTGCCCCAGCCCACCAACAGGGGACTCAACGATGCCCACTGAGGAGACCGGGGAGGGGCCTTTTCCTTCCCTCACTATCCCGTCGGGGGACAAGATGCTGACCGTGAGCTGGAAGCTGATGCCACAACTCCACCCCTGCTGGAGATATCCTGAGCCCCCTCTCACTCCGACCTTGGAATCCACCGAGAAGCATCCGTTCTGCCCTTGCTCCCCAAGGCCTTGGGGCCTTGCTATCTGCCCCACACTGAAATGTGAGCATGAGTCCTCTCGTATATGTGGTCTCCTCAACCGGAATGCGCGGGGACTGTCTCAGTTTTCTCCCAGCATCCTCAGAGCTTAGCACAATGCCTGGCACAGAGCAAGGGCTTAATAAGTGTATTTCCATCCCATTTCATCTTCTGAACCACACCTCTCTGTTCTGCTTATTCACCTTTCTGTCCTGTCGCCTTCCTGCCTCTCCAATTCCCTTTTGCTCCTCCCATGGCTCTTAACTTCATTCCTTCCCCACTGAAGTCTCACTGAGCATGCCTTTGGGAATCAAGATGGATTGCCCTTTTAAAATTTTGCTTTTGCGGGTCCAGTGTGCTGTACTGTGAAGCAGTATTGACATAAGTTTATTATGCTATAAAATCAGGTTGTCCTTTTCTTTACCAAAATCCTGACAGGGTTGGCTGCTGCAGCCAACACACGAATGCCCTAAGGAATGCAAGGCACCTATCCCACAAAAACATTTCTCAAGCCTTCTGATGAGTATCATTTACATGGGGCTGGACTGGAGGAGGAGAGGAGGAAAGGCTTAAGCTGAGATTCAGCAGTTGCATAAGGAAGCCTTGGCCCCAGATGGTTGACTGCCCATCACGATGGAGCTCTGAGTCACCGGCCCAGCTGGGGACAAACTGATTTGTTTGCTTTACTGTAAAACCAGTTTACATTTCAATGACTAAAAGTTAAATATAGTATACCTAAGGTTTCATTTGAATATTAAATAAAGCAAGTTTACTGGTGGTAGAATTGGGGTAACGCCAGGAGAGGGAGAAAGCCAAGATTAGGCAAGGAGGAAATAGGAACTTGGGGCCTAACTGGTCCTCTCCATATGAGGAGGGCCTCATCACCTCATCACCTCACACCTGGATTATTGCACTAGCTGCTGGGGGTCCTGCCTGCCTCAAATCTCTCCCCACTCAAGACCATCCTCCATTCAGCCACTAAAGTGATTTCCCTAAAGCTCAGGTCTGATCATGACACGCACCTCTCCGCCCCCCAATAAACCCCGGTGGCTTCCTCTCACCCCGGAGCATTTTTCAGTCCAGTGACCCTGGCCTCTTGGCCGTTCCACAAACAGGCCCTCTTTCTCTCAGCTCTGGGCATTTTCTCTGGCTGTCCTCGGTGCCTGAATTCTTCATCCTCTTCATCTCCGCCTCCTGGCTTCCTTTCAGTCCATACTAAAACTACACCTTCCACAAGAAGCCTTTCCTAACCCCATTTAAACCTAGGGCCCTCCCTCTGTTCATTATTTCCTATTTATTCCAAAGCTTGCTTGTATATTTTTGTTACCTCCCCCATGAGACTGTGAGCTCTGAGGGTAGGGACTGTTCCTCTTTCTGTATCCCTGGTGCTTAGCATAATGAGTGCCCGGCATATAGCAAGCATTGTAATGTTTATCGATTGACTGACAGACTGGGAGTTCAAAAATTCAGCTCGTCATGAATCTGTTAATTAAAAGCAGGGTGATAATACCTGCCCTCCTACATCAGAAAGATGTTGAAATATTAGGATAACATCATGTGCAAATTCTACAAAGGAAAATTGGTTATCCATGCTCAAACCTGGATTGTTTTCATCGAGGCCTTCCCCACCAGACCCACACCTGGCTTCTTATCTCCACTTAGCACAAACCTGAAGCCTGGGAGGGGAGAGACAGTGATCACCCAGGCAACAAAACCAAGTTTCCAAATCCTCCTTAGGTTTTTCACAGTAAGAATATTTTCTCCCTTTCAAATCGAACAGATCAGGATACACACTGTACAGAGACCAGGTCTCAAGACATGTGATGAATACAGACAGTATTAATTTCCATCCAGTGATGCTATCATCTCCAAGGCCATCAATCCTCCTTCAGGGGAGACATTTGTCACCAGATAGAGCCTGGAGGAAATGGCTTTCGTCACCTCGGCACCGTGATAGGGCAGGCAGGCCCCGACCTGCTCAAACAGCTCATTACTGATTCCAGCCTGCACCTTGCCAGAGCCAACTGCCCACTCTGGCCCCTCCATTCCTTTAAGTGATTATGGAAATATCACCCTTGATAGAATAGGCAGAAAAAAAAAAGAGCAGCAGGATTGTGCGAAGGAACAACTGATTTGGGACAAAGTCCAAAGAGGTGCCCAACCTGGGCGCCCAACAGCTTGACTCCACAACGGCTTATGCTTCAGTAGACCTCTCCAAGAACCCAGACCAAACACCATCAACATTAGGAAAGCCCTAAGGGAGGGAAAAGAGGGCTGGGGAGGAGGAAAGAAAGGGAGAGAGGGAGAGAAGGAAAGAAGGTGGAAAAGGAAAAGAGGAAGGGAAAAAAGAGAGAAAATGAAAGGAGAGAGGGAGGGAAGAAAGAAGGGGGGAGAAAGCTAGGAGAGATGGGAGGGTGGGTAGGGGAAAGGAGAAGAAAAGAAGGGATGGAGGGCAAGCATGGGGGAAGGGAAGGGAAGGATGAATAACACTAACAGCACCTTTATGCATATTTTTGGTTTCATAAGGAGTGAAAGAAATTAAGTCTGCATTAGGTAAACTTAATAGGAAATGAGGGAGGGGATTTCCTTTTCAGCATTGGTGGGGAGCTTCTGTTTTTGCTTATTTCAAGATCACTAATTTCACCTAATTGCGATTTTCTAGAAGATTTAATAATGGTGAAACCATTCTTAGTCTGGTAACTACTTCTATTCCAATTACCATAGGAACCAGAGCAGAGAGAAAGAGAAAAATTTCCACCCCCTGACGGAGGCCAAACACTGGGGCCCATGGCAGCGGCCTCATTATCCTGGGTCACAGGCTTATCAGAAATGACCAGAACACATAATGACTGGAACACAGCGGCCACATTCTAGGAACAAGAACATGAAAACAGGAGGCGCGTTCCACTGAGGTGTAGGACCTGAGCGGAGGACCCAGCACCCAAGCCCTAGACATTCCAGGACTGCCACTGAGAATCTGCTTCTTAGTGATTCAGGATGCTTAACTGGCCTCATCGCCTGTGGAAAGGAAGCTGGCACCCCGGGGGAAAGCCCAGCCTTCGTGCAGCTTGCTGGGAGCCAATGGGGCTGTTGCAGGTGGGGCCCTTCCTCTTCTCAGAACTCTCTGATGCGTTAGTCACCCTTTCCCCAGGCTCTGAGGGTGAGGTGAAGCTGTTCCGGAAGAAGCCGGCCATTTCTGCTGCTGGAGAAAGACCAGAAGTAAGGGCTCAAAAATGGAACCTGGGAGTCTGGCAGAGGTTTGCTTCCAAGAGATCCCATTTACAAAGGAGTCTGGGGTTTCAGGGTTGACATCATGTCAACAACAGTTGCCGGGAGTCAGAGGCCATGGGTTCAAAACCTGGCTCTGTTCCTTATGATCTGGGGCTGGGAGGTTGCACCATAGTGGATACAGTGCTGGGCCTGGACTCAGGAAAACTCATCTTCCTGAGTTCAAATGTGGCCACAGACACTTACTAGCGGTGTGACCCTGGGCAAGTCACTTAACCCTGCTTGCCTCAGTTTCTTCATCTATAAATAAGCTAGAGAAGGAAATGGCAAACCACTCCAGGATCTTTGCCAAGAAAACCCCAAATGGGGTCCCAGAGAGTCAAACAGGACTGAACTTACCACCTGGGTGACCTGGGGCAGATCACTTCTGCTCTGGGCCTGTTTCTTCATCTGTAAAATGGCGGAGGATAAGGCAGCTTAAAGACCATCCCACTAAGGCCCCTTCCAGTGCTGTGATCACTTAGACATGATCTCACGGGGTGTAGCGTAAGCCTTCCTTTGGCCTTGTCCAGCCAGGTGGGTGATGGCAGCCAATTAGAACAGCACCAACATGGTGCTTCTATGAACTTGGACCCTGCAAGCCAGAAAGGCTTCTGGCAATCAGGATTTTGATTCTAGATAAAGATTTTGGAGGCAAACACTGCACCAATGACTCCTGAACAAGCCATGTTTCTAGATTGACTGAAGGGGATCAATGGAGCTGCTCGGAATTCCTCGGCGGCTGGCGATGAGCAAAGTGCCCCACGCCTGCCCACCGGGACTACAATAGTTTTCCCCAAGATCCCCTGCGCTCCACTTTTTAGGGCTGTCCGAACGGTCTCTGGTATGGCCAGTGCAGCTCTCTATGTTCGCACCCTCCCTGTCCTCTAAGCTCTGGCCAAACTGGCCCCGTCCCGTCGTGTCCTTCCTCTGTGCCTCAGCCTTCTACTTCTGATCTCTCATGGTGCTGCTCAGGAACTCTCTGCTGCCTTTCCTATGAAAGAGCACCCATCACAGTCATCCTGACCAAACCATCGGGTCCCGGGCAGCGACTGTGTCTTTTCCAAATGGCCTATCTCTCCCAGGGATCAGTCTGCACACAGTAAATGTTGGATAAGACTTTATTGGAAAAACATAAAGTGCCGTATCAATACTCCCCATCTGATGGCTCCCTCTTCCCCATAACACACAGAGTCCTTGGACTGAAGGCTTTCCTGACTTACTGTCATATGTGGCTGCCGTGCTGGCTGGATGTGCACCACAAGGCCTAGCGGAGAAAGTTAGCCCTGGGTTCAAGTCCCAGCTCTGACACAGGGGAGCTGCGGGAGCCTGGGAAAGCTAATTCACCCCCCAGTGCCCCAGGCAGCTGCAGATGTGATCGACACTGGCAGAAGGACTTGCCTCATTTGGGAGTTCCCCATGTGAACTGGGTCTGGCTCCAGGTCTTCTCCCCAAGGAATGGCTCTTAGGGGGGCCTGGGGGGAGCAGGGAGCATAAGAAGAATGACCAAAAGACCACCCAGAGCAAAGCATCAGCAAGAACCCAATCAAGGCCCCATCTCCTCGAGGGCAGGGGCAGGGGCATGGGAAGAGGCTGTGGCCACGGCCCTGGGTTATTTTGCTAAGGGGCACACTGGGAGCAGCGGGGGCACAGGCTGGTGACAAGGCCATGGAATGAGCTGAATCAGAAACCTGGAGGAGGAAACGAGGAAGAAAGGCTAGAGCCCGAGGGGGCCACACTGTCAACCCTCTAAAGAAACCATCTGATTCTTGTAAGAAATGAGTGTTTTCATCTGCAGATTTTTAATAGTTTTCTATTTCTTAAGACCCTCAGTCCACAAAAATCAAACCAACCATGATAAAAGCTGGTGGCAATCTGGCGGGCCTCAGGCTGCACGCCCCCTCGGCTGTTTCCGGGGCCAGTGATGGAGGGCCGCGGGCATAAGAAGAGGGTCTCTTCATCCAACTCCCCATCCTTGGAGAAGGAGACCCCGGCCTCAGCCTTCCTCCTCTCTCCTTCCTCTGCCAGGCTCCCTCTCAGCGCCTGCGCCCACTCTTCAGTCCCATGACCGTGAAGGTGGCTGCAGTCAGCTTCTCATAGACTAGGAACATGAGGGCAGCCGTGAGCACGGTCTGCAGCAGCTTGGCCTCCAGGCCTTTGTAAAGTCCCATTACTCCAAAACGCCTAGGAGGAAACAGGGTGGGCAGGTTGGTGCAAAAGCAGCCTGGAAAAGGACACATTTCTGAGAAGAGGACGGGATGGATGGCACCAGAGCACGGCACCCTACGCTCACCCCCGGGACAGAACCAGCCACGGAGAGACATCACGTCCAGCTCAGACTTTCTGTTGCTGAAATCTTGGAGCCTACTTCCAATCTCCCTGAAATGCAGGAGATCAGCTGGGCAGGGATGACCCACCGGGTCCAAAACTAGGAACCAAGGAGACAAGGGAGGCCCTGACAGGATCTTACTGACGGGGACACAGACTGTAGGCAGCTGGAGGGCCACGGGGAAGCCAAAAGCAGAGACCAATCACGGGGCTATTTCAACTGCCCTCTGTGCCTCCAAACAGCAGCTGAGAGGGGATGAAGCTTTCAGCAGAGCAGAGTTCAATCTCACCTCCCTGGCCCCTCCAGCCTGGGGCAAGGCCAGCAGCCAGAATCCAGAGGGAAAGAGCCAAGCCATGTGGAAGTGACTTGGCAGCCCCCGG